AGGATTTGCAGTAATTCCTGATTTGATAAAATTTGGGTAGAAAAATGTATAGAAAAATTCTGGATAAACAGTGGCAGATCATATACACCCTATACACTGGGTGATATCAATGAGATAATTACAGATCTAATCTTTTGTGTCAAAATGTGTCCTTATTTCAACTGTGCAGGCACCTGGTGGATGACACTCCTCCTCTTCACACTGCCATATCTCACCTGTAACATGGTCTGCCCCAGCGGCTGCCAGTGTGTTAAAGGTGCTGTCAAGTGTGTTGGCTACACCATCAAAGATATACCAAAGCATCTGCCTGTCCACACATACCTGCTTCTACTTAATGACACAAACATGAACGTCATAAATGAGCAGAGCTTGGCAAACAAGGATCTCCTGTTACGTTTCAGTCTGACTTACAGTCATCTACGCACTATCCATCCCAGGGCTTTCCACGTTGCACCACAGCTCAAGTCTGTCAAGCTGTCATATAATGATCTCTCCACCCTTCCTGTTCGGGTTTTCAGTCCACTGACCGATCTGGAACAGTTGCATTTAGATGGTAACCAGTTGGAGATCATAGCTCAGGATATGTTTGAAGGACTTGTCCGGTTGCTGGATCTGGACTTGAGCCGGAACAAACTTAGTAATCTCTCTTCAGATGTTTTCGATGGACTGACCAAACTCAACTTTCTGAACCTTGGCAGGAACTTCATAAAAAAGCTTCCACCAACCATCTTTCATTCCTTGACTAAACTTCGCCAGCTCCCGATCTATAACAACGAGCTAGAGGTGCTAGAACCTGGGATCTTTGATGGACTTATCAACCTTGAGGAGCTTAAACTTCACCATAACCAGATTTCCAGTCTTCCACCTCAGGTGTTTTGGTCACTGAGGAGCCTGACGATGCTCACCCTGTCGTCCAACCAACTTAAGGCAATCCCGGAAAAGAGCTTCTACAACATGCCCAAGCTGACAAAACTTACCATTTACAACAACCCATTATTATTGCTACCAGACCAGCTAATGGGTTACATGCCAGACATGAGAGAATTTTATCTGTATGCCACTAACCTCACCACTGTTCCTGGAAATTTGTTTGCTAACATGTCTGGACTCCTGAGTCTTAACCTCCATTTAAATCAATTTCTATATGAGTTGCCTTCAGACCTCTTCTGCTGCCTTCCCAAAGTTCACAAGCTCTCATTGAAATTCAACAACCTCCTTTATCTACATCCTCAGTTGTTCTCCAAACTAACTGCACTGGAAAAACTGCATCTTAATGACAATAAGCTGCAGAGACTACCAGAAAACATTTTTCAGGGCCTCGGAGATATTTTGACAATTGATTTGAAGAATAACCACCTCAAGACTCTCCCAGGAGATATTTTTCTGTCAAATACGGGTTTGAGAGCTCTTACTCTGAGTGGCAACCCCTGGGACTGTACCTGTGGTATCAGAGGTATTGCGAAATGGATAAGGCATAATGAGCATGTGGTTCTTGACAGAGATGAAGTGCTATGTCATAGTCCATTGTACCAACTGCTCCGTACCATTGGATCTCTGTCTGATGAGGAGTTCAAATTTTGCAATGCTACAAGATACAAAAGTTCTTTTACTACACAGAATTACTTGCATGAGCCAACAAAGCCATTCTACACCATTTCGACCAGCGGAAAAACATCAACTGTTGCTTCAACAACCACACCAGCTACAACAAAATCAGACACCACTCAACGAGTTACCGAACAAATCACCACCTCAACAACCACTCCAACGACAAAATCACCTGTTTTACATACCACAGTCTTATCAACACCTCTGCAAACTCCGACCACTAGCCCGCCCTACAACGACTTTTTTCTCCTTACTGAGACTCCATCGACCTATTACTTATCAGTTCCTTTCTATGACACATTGGTAGTAGAACAGGGATCCGAGTATGTTCACCACAACCTTCACAAGGGCTGGGTCTATGTGTGGTTTCTGCCCTCAGATACGGCCTTGACCGGGTTCCTCATGTTCTGTCACATCCTTCTTGTGGCCACAGGCTTGTTCTTCATTCTTGCTGCCATTTATGGCATGTATAGCCTCAACAAGATCATGGATGAGCTAAAGGCTGAGGCTGCACATACTCCAGGGTAACAAAACATGTTATCAGGCCTGGTGCCCAACAGAGGTTGCAGTTAATAAAATATTTTCTTTAAGTGTTACTTTAGGACAGCCAGACTTGAAATATGGGCAAAAATAAAACAACCACAATAAAATATTTATAATTATATTTTTATATTTTAAGATACCAACAAAATACTGTAAGATAATACATTTAATATTATATAATACAGTGCAGTACAGTATATACGCTTAAAAACAGAGTTATGTGGATGTAAGTTACAAATTGTTTGTTCATAATTATAAATAATTTACGTAGAGCTGTAATTTCAAAATAAATTATATAGTCAAATAATCAATAAATCATTGAAATAAAATGAATGGTTAAAACATTTTCTATCAAATATGCCAAACATTATTTGGCTTTTGCTTTTCAGATGTGAATATTTGCAGCTTTTCTTTGTCTTTTGGGTTTTGGTACATTAATTGCACAAATCAAGCAATTTGAACACATTGGGGTCTGGGAGGTTGTGATGGGTGTTTTTCACTACTTTTTGACATTTCATGGACCAAATTACTTAATCAGGGAAATATTTGGCAGATTAATCAATAATGAAAATAGTTTTCAGTTGCAGCCCTACAGTTAAGTTTTGAAAAAACAACAACATATGAAATAAAACATCTTCCTTTGCTATCTATCCTTTGTTTTAAGGTTCCATACTTATTTTTATACATACTAATATCTAATGTGTGTTGTTTGCCCTTGTGCATTTATCAGGTTTTCCTTTATGACAGCAAAACTTATGAAGAGTGCAATGTGAAGTAATTTGTTTCTCTCTAAACTGCATGAAGAGACATCACAAGTTAAAAATATTGTTTACTGTAACTTTTGAGTAATAATCAGTAAATTTCTGAAAAAATCATATTACATGCAAATGTCTTTCTTTTTTTCCACCATGTTGGTAAATGCCAACACTTTACCAACACTGACAATGGTTTATGGGTCATATAATCAGGAATATCTACATCTGTTCTTCTTTACTTCTCCCCACATTCACACACTGGTATTTGGTAAAGGGAGTTCAGTTGTTTGTTGTCATATTTTATAGTTTAATCAGTTATGAGAGTATATGTGAGAAATCTTATGTAGCCATAGTACAAGATATAGGTCCATATGCACCTATAACCCAAGGTCTACACATAGTTGAAGTATGTTATTTAAGAAACAAACTTGCCAGGGCACCAGTTATATTTGAGGATATTGTAAACATCTTCATCTCCTAAGTTCTTATCTGGATTTCCTCTTGGAATTGAGGGAGAATTGTACATTCCAATATTAAATCACCTCCTAGATACTAGGGAAATTACACCCTTATCTTCATAACAGCCTTCAAAACAGGAAGCTAATTTCAGCCATTGTTCAGATTTCACAAAGCCAGGGATCAAATAAAGGTCTGACATGACTCTTTCGCAAAACAGTGTCCCTTTAGTTTCGTAATCCTCCATTGTGAAAAAAAACCACAAAATGTGCACATATTCTTTTTTTTGAATAAATTGAGATCACTTAAGACAAAACAATATAAAAAAGGATTGAGGAAACATGCTCTCTAATTTTGTCCTAACATTTTTCAATTTTAATTTCATACAAATGTTTTTAAACAAGAACTTTGGAGGATTATTAATAGCCAATACAACTTAAGTTACATTTGAAACCAGTTGTGTTGATAATTACCCATTGCACACATAAAACTATTTAAGATTATTATTTGGAGTTCAACTGCTGGTCAAAAAAGCTATTGAATCTTTTAAACCTTCACAAAATGACAGCGGATGCCACAAATTCCACGAGAAGTGATTGGACTTTAAAACAAACAGCAAACAAAAGAGGATGAATTGGTGAACAGCACCCAAGTTCATTGCTATGACAACGGGTGATTAGGCCTTTCCAGTACACTGAGCTCACACAACAGTGGGCACACACACAAACACAGTGAGTAAGTGCGGGGAGAGGAAATCATACTGCAGGCGTCATAAGAAATATTCTACCACAGTGGAAAGATTAATGAAACATTTTTTTAAACATGGGATTTTCCAGATTTGTACGTCTGGATTTAGCAGACTCTTGGCTGTAGGGTGGAGCGATAATCCTCTTACCTCTGATAATTAACTGTTAGATAGCCTTTTGACATTAACAAACTATAGTTTTAGCCAAACATTTTGCCAAAGGCAGCCACAGCACCATCATTAATGCGTTTTTCTTTGGTTTCTAATTGGTTTCCATCTAAAAGGAGTAGAAGTATTTTTTAGGTATCCAAGTTCAGCTATACTTGAAAAGAGAAGAGTACAATCTTGTTTTGTTTGTCTTTTTTCTCAAACGGGAAAAACTAAAGTAAAGTACACTGCTATATTAGAACTTTCTTCATCTCCTCACATAAATCATGTATTATATCTGACATGACTGATTTATATCTTTAAAACTGAACCACTGTAACATCTCTTAACAGAATGACACACTCATAACACAACTCTTGTCACCCAGTCTGTCCCAGTATGCCCAGTTTATCAGTGTTGTTATGGTCCAATGTGGACAAACACCTGTGGAAATATCAGAGGTAACATTTGGAAACTTTATGGACATTATGGGATAGAGAGGGGATATGTTCGTCCATCTGCTATAACATGTGTTCCAACTTAATAATAAAAAGACTTGATGATTCATCATGATGTTTCTGTCAGTTTAGGAGGGTCTGTGGCTGTTGTGAGGTAATTCAGTTATAAAACACTGGTCTGACCTGCAGCAGTTATTACTTTCTGACTTATATATCTTTCAGTACCTTTACAGTAATATCAGAAAAACACCATGTTTCAAGTATGAAATGTATATGAACTGCAGCAACTGACTGTCTATACGTTAACTCCACCCACGTTATCTGTTTTCTGTGGTGAGGAGGGAGTTAGCTGTGTTACAAAACAGATGGATTTACTTAAAGCAACACAGGAATGTTAAAAGCTACAGAATACTCCCTGCTCAAACTTTTTATTGAAAGATTTATTGAAGAAAACACCATTCCTCATTTAGCACCAAAGCTAAAGCACACAGAATTTGCATGAACAGAAAAACAAACACTCAAACTCTATGAAAAGTCATATACACACACATACTGTACATGTACATAAACAGAAACTTTCTGCAACCTCATCACATAATTATAATTATACAATACTGAAAGCTGTTTATTTTTATTCCTGAACATACCTGCACAGGAGATCATTATATGACACTAAACATACTGAATAGAAAATTAATTATTTCTGCAGCATAAGTGAGGCTTAAGAGATGTGTGCAGGTTGTTCGGTTGTTTTTTAGATCTTGTAATCTGTAATCCACAGTGTGAGCACTGAAGACTGCCAAGTGGCCAAATCATGGGTTTACGAGCATACCACGGACGTCATACCAAAGATATGTGCAGCTGCTTAAATTTGCACACCCAAACAAAAAGGCACATACACAAAAAACAATGTCACAAACAAAAACACAAAACCAACTCCATTGTCTTTAATCAAATCAAATTCTTTTGTAACCCTAACCTCCAACATAAATATGTCCTGAAAGTAAACAAGAAAAACATGTAGCCACATCGATGAAGACATATTGATCCCCTAAGATGAAGCACAGCTCACACATCCCTTTACATGAATTCAAACAAGCACAGACACTCCTATAAACACAAATCACCAGAAGGTGGGGCTTCCCATTATGCGATTCCCCACCACCACATGTAGCTAAAAAATGTGAGCGTGAGTGTGTTAGAGGAACAGATGGGGGCAGGGGGACAGCCGGGACACTGAATAGTGCCTCTACAGCTTTTATGAAAAGGACCTACAGATTTCATGAGCTCAAGGCAGAAATAAAAAGAAAACATTGGTGATGGGAATCAAGTGATGACGAAGAGCAAGGAAATGTGATGGTGTGAGAGTTCTGACAGTTCTGGAAACTTTCATAACAGGATTTGTAAAGCTGAGGAGGAAGGGAGGACGTACATAAAAGATAACCACACCAACCCACTGTCTCTATTCACTCAATCGTCAGCTACATCGAGAGGTAAGTTCTGCAAAACAACATTCACTCTTGGTTAACAGAGTGCTTTTTACTTCTAACATAATATAAGATGATGATTCATGATGTGACAAATAGATTTCATGGTTAAATTATCAGAACTAATAAGATAAGGGCAGTTATAGAGTTATAGCAATATGTTCATATGCCACGTCTATATTTATCTTATATATAAACCTCTGTACTTAATTTAACCCTTGCCTATAGGACTCTTATTCAGTGAATAAGTGAAATTTTCTGTCTGAAAATGTGTTTTATTTTGGAAAGTTTGAGACTGGTAATCAAAATCCTTTTATATAAAACATAAATTAACTTATGTGGCTTGACTACTGGTTTGTGGGAATACAGTTCCCCACTTTGCTAGCACAGTCTTTTCATGACAGAGAAAGTGCTGATCTTTCAGCTATGGCAAAGGGGGGAAAAAATCAAAGCAATTAATGGTGAACTGGAAATGCTTTAGACATTACACTATACTGCAGACCATTCCAAGTCATCCCAATAGAGAGCAGACAGTGGTTTTGGTTGGACAGGGATGATATAATATATACCAGAGAGGAAACATGGTTTAAGTGTCAGGTTTGGTTCAAATAGGAACATTATTAAATTCATACTCGACAACGGGCATACAGGCAGAACAGTTCTCAGTGATTTTGTATCAAAATGCTGCTTGAAAACTACAAAAGCCGCTTACTGTAAATCCATTGTTCCTGACATTGTTTTTTAAAATGTTTCCCATTGCAACACAAACAAAAGAAGGTGAACCACATTCAGATAACACAATACTCAGTGGATAGCTGTGTTTTCTGGTAGTTACGTAAGAAACACATCTCTGAGTTAAATGTGAACACTTTCCATTCACAGCAGTAAAGAAAAGGCAAGTGGTAATGAAGCCAGTGTTGCCCAACAATGTTCCCCCTTTGCATGATTTGAACAAATAAGAAGGAAAGTTATAAGTAATAGGACTAAGGGTTAGGGTTATTGATGGTAGTAGAATAAAAGTACTTTTTAAAAGTACAGTAATAACATTTTACAATGAAAACATTGTTTTCCCTCTCACAGCAGGGATCCAGCACCATGAGTACAAAATGTATCAAAAATAGGAACAGCTGGGATGCACCAGGATGTATTTTATGACCCTCTATCTTTGATGTGTACAAGACAGAAAGAAAGAAAGAAAATAAATCTGTGGCTGAGCTCATCTGAGGGACATACTGGTCTCTTTAGAAAGTTACTTCCTCAGAAAGACTCTTTCTGCACCCTAATACACAGCCACAGAGAAACAACTCATGCTTGCCAATCTTAAGTTGCAGAACTTTAAATGGATTTGCATGGAGAAGCAGGTCATTATGTTGGCAGAGCTTTGTGTTTGGAGGCTCCTGTGCCATTACAAACAGGGAGCACAGCTTCCGCCACAGTCTTGAACATGTGCAGGCAGTCATATGTTGAGAAGTATTTTAGAACCAACACAGAAATCATTTTGTTTGTGGCAGCAAACCAAAGACCATGTCCATTTTCAGTGAGGATATATTCTGCAGTTTGGGGATTCACTTCCAAAAACATTCTAAGGACTATAAGGTCTAGCCTTGCTCCATTTGAAAAGTGTCCTG